TTCGATTTTGGCGAAAATCCACTGGCCCCGGACAACCCGAAAATCTGACCCTTTGGCTGGGACCAAAAAAAAACGGTTTCTCAGTTTTTACTTTTTCCATATACTTTTGACAGGTCTGACTAGCCCGGCGCGTAAATAGTTGTAATCAACATTCACCCGGGTGAAAAATTCAATTTTGGCGAAAAATCCAAGATCTGACACTTTGACCCTTGTGACTCTTAGACCGACTTTCCCGCCGGAAAAATCCAAGATCCGACACTTTGGCCTCCGGTGAAAAAAATTTTTTTTCATTTTTCACTTTTGCCACATACTTTTGATAGTTCTGAATAGCCCATCGCGTAAATAGTTGGAATCAACGTTCACCCGGCTAAAAAATTCGATTTTGGCGAAAATCCACTTGCCCCGGAAAACCCGAAAATCTGACCCTTTGGCTGGGACCAAAAAAAACGGTTTCTCAGTTTTTACTTTTTCCATATACTTTTGACAGGTCTGACTAGCCCGGCGCGTAAATAGTTGTAATCAACATTCCCCCGGGTGAAAAATTCAATTTTGGCGAAAAATCCAAGATCTGACACTTTGACCCTTGTGACTCTTAGACCGACTTTCCCGCCGGAAAAATCCAAGATCCGACACTTTGGCCTCCGGTAAAAAAACATTTTGTTCATTTCTCAATTTTTCCGCATACTTTGGATAGTTCTAAATAGCCCGTCGCTTAAATAGTTGGAATCAACGTTCACCCGGCTAAAAAATTCAGTTTTGGCGAAAATCCACTTGCCCCGGAAAACACGGAAATCTGACCCTTTGGCTGGGGCCAAAAAAACGGTTTCTCAGTTTTCACTTTTTCCACATACTTTTGATAGTTCTGAATAGCCCGTCGCTTAAATAGTTGGAATCAACGTTCACCCGGCTAAAAAATTCGATTTTGGCGAAAAATCCAAGATCTGACACTTTGACCCTTGTGACTCTTAGACCGACTTTCCCGCCGGAAAAATCCAAGATCCGACACTTTGGCCTCCGGCGAAAAAATTTTTTTTTCATTTTTCACTTTTTCCACATACTTTTAATAGTTCTGAGTAGCCCGCCGCGTAAATAGTTGGAATCAACGTTCACCCGGCTAAAAAATTCGATTTTGGTGAAAAATCCAACAAAACAATAATTGCAAAAAACAATAATTGCATTTTTTATTTCAATAACGCATGAGTAAACAGGGATATGAACGCAGATTTAATATAGACCCATAGAATTACGGGGACGGGCAAGGATTTGGAAAGTCTGAATACAAGTCCTGCTTACACCTAATAAGTGCTGAAATGGGACATAACCAGAGGTAGAAAGGTCTTGGAAGCACTTGGGACGAGACTTCCAAAGACCTATCCAGTTCTGAACGGAAAGACCTAAGTAGAACTTGTCAGGTTCAATTATTCAACTCGGGTCATTAATATGTTACACGTGGACGAAGTTTCGTGACATTGGCGGCATTTTTACGTTCAGTCTATGCATTTTTTCACATTCCCCATAAGAACACGGGTTAAAATGCGTTTTTTAAAATAATTTACTCCATTTGAACCATTAATCTCAGCAATCTGAAACTCCACACACAGCATCGAAATATATCAAAGAATGTACTTAAAAAATTTCAAAAAATTGGCTACATTTTTTTACCTCGCCTGAACAGCGTTATTATGAAAAACCCAATACACGTTTCTTGATTTAACCCTCTTTCATGAGTGGCGTTTCCACAACTCTGGATGCTCTTCGTTCATGTGGATTGGCCGTCCCCACTCCCATCGTCCAAATAGTGATTTATTTCACCTTTCGCAAATGACGGTCAAGAGCCGAACGGTTTTTGATTTTACAAATTTCATTACTTGAGAGTACTGAATTTTAGGGATTTTTCAATGAAATTAAGTAATCAGTTTCTTATTCCCAATACAATGCCTTCTATAGAACCATGAATTCTTCGAAATTTGCAACTTGGTTCTAGAAACTAGAAACATTTTTTTTTCTGTAATCATATTCAACATTAGTTAGCCATCAGTGTTTCCACTCAAACCCGATTTTATACTATGTGGCTGAGCACTTGCAATGATTTCTTAATTCAAACATTCTAATGTTTGTGCTTGATTGTTCGGAAAAAAATAAACAAGTCGATGTTTTGACGAAGATTCATGATACATAATTATAGGGTTTCTATACCCTAAAATAGTATATTTCAGCACGTGTGGGGCAATTTCGTCTTTAACGTGTGTGGGGTTTACAGCATGAGCCGAAGGCGAGTGATGTAACCACACACGTTAAGGACGAAATTTCCCCACAAGTACTGAACAAAATTTTATGTCACGAAGCCTGAAACCGGTTGAATTAGACACGAGACGCGAAGCGTCGAGTGTGTAATTCGGCCGGTTTCAGGCATGAGTGGCATAAATCATATTTTTAAATACACGATATGTTCGGTCATATTCAGAATGATCCCAGAAAATATAAGGTTCCCAGAAGTTTAAACACTTTCCATTTTTTTTTATAGAAAGGCCGCGTTTGGATTTTAATTAAAGTGCTTTAAAATAAAATTTGCATAATGCTGATCATATATGACTTTTTTCAAATGTTTTTCACGTAATTCAATTGAATACGATAATTACTGCGAGAGTGTAAATGCCACTTAGATTGTCTTAAGAAGCGAAAAAATGGAAAAATATTTTTCTTCCATTAAATTCAATTAATCTTCTATTAGATCATTTGTAAGGATAAATATAAATGCGTCCGTTGACTAAGTTCTCTCATAACATAAGGTATAAAGCGAGGAAGTTGTAAACACTGAAAGTCGTTCATTGCTGGTAGTATTCCCCGAGATATTGAAATATTTAACTCTCTGAGACGCGGTAAATTACATGGAAACTGTAATTCAACGTCGTAGAAATTCCCGAAGAAGGTAGTTGAGGCATATTAATTTAATTCATTAATTACTAAACACATTTACTTGGCGATTTACTCTACCTGCTGAATTTTCCTCTAGCGAAAGTGCATCATTTGATTTGCTTATAACATAATGGAAATGTAATGAATGGGATGAATTTATAGAATTGCAGAGTTTTTCATTTTTGAGAAAGCTGATCCGTCTGTATTTCAGCCATTAGACATACCCAAGAGAATATTTGCAATTTTTTTTATTCATTAATTAATAAAAAATATATACCATCTTTGAGAACCGCTTATCGAAAACGGTAGATGAATGATATTTGTTGGAATTTAATTGTGTCTAACTCGTTCACCACGACGGATTCTCACCTCACAAGAACCATATTAATTCAAATTTTCGTGGGTAACATTTTGTATTAAATCGACCTGATTCAGGTATATTATACACTCGAATTAGCAATAATATTCCTGAATCATCATTCAGGTATATTATACACTCGAATGAAGTATATTTTATATTCAATAATTTTTTTTTACTTTTTGATTACAATTTTATTTTGTGAAAAAAAATCTAAAACCCATGCTGAATTTTTCTCATTTTTGAAAATTTTTCCCTGGGATTCAGAAATCGTTGTCATAGTGTTAAAGGGGTGTAACGTCCATTTTTTGCTCGACTATATTCACACATTTTTTGACCATAATATTCTGACCCTAACTTTTTGAACTATACATTCTGACTCCTACATTATTTCTTATAATATATACAGAGTCTATTTTTTCGGCCCTAGCAAGCTGATCCTCATGTTGTGACTCTCATTGCTTATTTTTTAATACTTAGTGCCCGATCCTCATATTCAACTTAACAGGTCCTGGTACAAACAGGCCTGATATGAAAGAATGCATTCTTGAATGGCAATACCCATCCCCCATTCGGGGAAAAAATATACCAGATTCCGATATAAATTCTATTCGGGTACTTTTTTCCATGAATCTATGCAGAAAATCATAAATTTCAAGCGAACCAGTTTTCTATAGTTTTCCAATTTCTTCTAAAATAAAAGAGTAAAATATAAAGAAATTCGTGTGAGTTCCACAATTATATATTTGATTCACATTTTACGAACTGCAAGCAGTCTTCTTTGACATTTTCCATCAAACCGAAATGGTTTTTTTTTCTACATTTTGAAAATTTTCATAACCGAGAGCACTTTTGCAATCATTTAGGAAAAGAAGAAGGTTTAGAGACTTATCAAAAACATCTCGGTCCATTAACCTTTCCATAAAGAATGTTTCATGCGTAACTTTCCTGAACCTTTTCCTGCCAAAGGTATTTGCAAAGCAAATGCACTGAAATATTGAATCAATCGTATTCAGCCTCAAAATTGATCGGATAAATTCCTCAAGAACTTTTGATTTTTTGATAAGAAAGTTTTTTGAGGAGAAATGGAACTTCAGATAACGGTAAATTTTTCATTCAATTACCTGTCCACATTCCACAAAGGACTCGTCAAAAGTTGGAGTGAGAGTGAAAGATAAATTGAAATAGGAAAAAAAAATTCAATGGAGGGAAGAAATCGAGTCATCAAAGCTGGACAGAATCTATTGATTAATAGGTCACATGACTCGTTAATTAATACCACCACGATTATCTGCACAAGTTGACTGGTAATGTTGACCGACAGTCACGTTTTTGAGAGGTGGGAAACACGGGGATAGTTTGAAATGTGCTTACCATTGGTAAATTCCGCCTAAACGATCAGATTAAACTGTATAATTCTGATTTTCACAGAGGAGGATTTGATGCACGGGGGCGGTATTGGCGGGGGTTCTATGGTCGGTCAGAACTCAATATTTGGGTGCTCGGCTGCAGGACACAGTGGGGTCAACCAGCTTGGTGGTGTTTACGTCAATGGCCGACCATTGCCGGATTCAACGAGGCAAAAGATTGTAGAATTGGCACATAGTGGGGCGAGACCGTGTGACATATCGAGGATACTGCAAGTCAGCAATGGTTGTGTCTCCAAAATTCTTGGAAGGTATGATTTTTTTCTTTAACGTAAATTATTATCTTAAAAACAGTTTTCATAACAGAGCTAATTAATTGTAAAAAATTGTCTTATCATTCACGTAAATTTAAGTAGTCAATGGGAGTAAATTTCACAACATGAATATATTTATGAGCATAATATGTACGAGCAACTTATTTTTAAAATATTTTGGAAACAATGAGGTTTATCAATGAACGTATTCATCTGCAAGAAATGTAAATTAATTCAAGTAACAGGGATTTTTGGAGAAATAAAAACACTGTTCTAATTGTCAAGGATGCGACGTTTCGCAAAAATATATATATTTTAGCTTCATCAGGCTCTATAAAGAAATCAAAAACACATATTTGTGATATAATTATTCATTTCTTTTTTTTAACTTCCCGACCCGAAGGGAGGAAGTTATTGTAATGACCCCGAAAATCGAATGTGGAAATTTAAGCATTTCTCTACGTTTCATGACCTTTGGAACCACTTCTGACCCTTTTAATTATTTATTGCTTTTATTTTAATCTCAGCACACAGCGGATAGAAATTCTAGTTCTAATTCTCAGTAATTGTTTTTTGAATCTACTGATAATAATAACCATGTGTAATTTTACTCATATTGAGTCACATTTTCTCTTATTTTTAGCAATTCTTGGTTCTGGAATTCAGACTTTTGAGTTCTCGGCGTGTGCGTTTCAGTATACTCGGATTAAGCTCGTCCGATTTCTCAGATTGAAAAGATTCTCATTCTTGAATTGATGAGTTTTCCTGTTCTAAAACGATCTATTCGGATTTATGTATCCTTTACGATTCCAAATACATCCCCTAACTCATTGACGGAATTAACTATTGAATTCTCCTTCATTATCCCTTTCGGGATGTTCTTAGTTAGAAATTGCAATAGTTATTACTATGTGAACCCAAGGCTCTTCAATCAAGAAACCGACGGTTCATAGTTTATGATCTTGTCTCACTTGAAATGAGTCGGTTTTGGGTTTGAATTTTATGGATTTTCGCTCTGAAATCAACCAATCAGTTTCCTATTCTGGATACAATCCCTTCTAGAACCATGAGTTCCTCAGAATCACTAACTTGTTTTTTTTTCTTCTGTGCGGTAGCACGAAAATTGCAGAAGAATAATTCTCGAAAATTTCTTTTAACGCCATTAGTTTCCGAGTCATTTAGAAGCAACTTATCTCAAAATTTTTATAAGAATCGGGCGCCATCCCGAGTGGAAACTGTTTCAAGCAAGCCTAAGACTTGATCTGGTCTTGATGAGATCAAGTGTTCGTTTTGTTATTTTTACTTTCACACTTTATTACCCCCTCAGTACGTGTATTGTCGATCGGGTAATATTTTATATACATCGGACGTGAAAACTTATTAAACGGTATATCGAGAAGTTCACCGAAGAATTAAGTTTTACGATGATTACAGAACATAACGTGATTGGGACTATTATAACAATGAATAGTAGTTTCATGGATTACCACTGACCAAAAAAGTGATTACCAAATTCTTGTAATCATTTAAATCATGAGCAACACCAGTACCCCACGAGTATAGTTGAGTGCCCTTTATTTTCCCAGCTAGGGACCACATAAAAGATGTTGATATAATTTTCGTAAGATTTTTTTGAAATATTAGGTGTGTGACTTAATTTTTACAGATTTTTTCTTCGAGCTTAAAATTATATTTAAAATAGAAATATATTCGCGGTCTCTTCTGGTTTTGAAAGGATCGGACAAAAGGTTTCAGAACACAGAACGACAAGTCTATGTAAGTTACATAACCTTTCAGAATAGCAGAGTTTACGATGGCAACTGCTAAACAGCACATTCGGCACTGCATTTTATACGAATTCCAATAAGGAACAAATGCTTCTGAAGCACGGGAATCAATGTGTAGTGTTCTTGGTGCCGACGTTGTATCTTATGAAACGTGTCATTATTGGTACAAACCCTTTAGAAGTGGTGATTTCGATCTGAGTGACCAGCCGCCTCCTGGACAGCCTCGACAGTTTACAGATGCGGAATTGCAAGCTCTACTGGATGAAGACTCAACGCAAACGCAACAAGAATTTGCAGCTCAGTTAGGAGTCACCAGAACAGCTATTTCTAAGCGTTTGCGTCAAATGGGAAAAATCCAAAAACTTGGAAGGTGGGTCTCACATGTGTTGACCGAACACAACCTAGGTCAACGTATGAACACGTGCCTTTCACTGCTTGCCCGGCAACAAAAAAAGGACTTCTTGTGGAGAATTGTGACGGGTGATGAAAAGTATATTTTTTACGAGAATTCCAAACGTAAGAAGTCGTGGGTAGATCCCGGACAATCCAGTACATCGACGCCGAAATAGAACATTCACTTAAAGAAGATTCTCCTGTGTATATGGTGGGACATGAAGGGTGTACTTTATTACGAACTCCTGGAAACAGGTCAGACGGTGACTGCGGAACGCTACAGCCGACAACTGAACAAACTGAACGAAGAACTTGATCGGAAAAGGCCATTTACTGGGCAAGGAAGCAGACAAGTCATACTGCTGTATGACAATGCTCGACCTCACGTTGCTCGCGCGACTCAGAAGACCCTCTTAAACTTGGGATGGGAAGTTCTCCCGCACGCGGCATATTCACCAGACTTGGCCCCATCCGACTATCACTTGTTCCGGTCCATGCAGCACGCCTTAGTGGATAAACAGTTTAAAACTCTGGACGATGTGCGTAAATTCGTCGATGACTTTGTCGCCTCGAAGCCTGCAAGTTTCTTTCGCGACGGCATTCGAATGTTACCTGAGAGGTGGCGCAAGGTCATAGACAACGATGGACAATATTTCCAAGATTAAGTTCGTTGTTCTAAAGAACAACGAACTATTTCTTTATATTAAATAAATTTCTTGAAAAATCTGTAAAAATTAAGTCACACACCTAATATTTTCATTTCAAATACGCATTACACAATTCAAAATGGTGATAACAAATGAAGTTGTGTCTATAGATTTATTCATCTATGGACAGATAAATAGAATAGATAGATTTATTTATTAATTTTTCTTCCATTGCCATATAGCCGATTAGGCTTTTTACGGTCCCATTCCACCCCCCACCCCTTATTGCGGTATCATGGGCCGACTTCCTCTCCCACCATGTCGCATTGTACCCCAGGAACTGTACTCCATGTATAGACTCTCCTGGTGGCCAAGGGAAACCATGGAAAACCTTGGTCGACATGAACGTCCATCGATCGGATACCATCGGAGAATGTTCCCCAAACATTCAATCTCGATTATTTCCGGTGTCTAGACTCCCGTTCAACGGTTTCCAAAAAATTAAAAATCCTAATTTGCGCCAAAGCCGTACTTCGGCCACCGTCGTCGGTTTTATTTATTTCCTTTTATTTTGTCTTTATTCCGACGTGTATGACCTTTTGGTCTTTCACTTATTATCCCCCCTCCCCCAAATCTGCTTCACTGTAGGATGTCTTACTCTTTACCCAACTGCATTCCATTGGGGTTAGGGCTGCAAGGGAAACCATGGAAAACCCCAGTCTTACAGACGGCCGATGTTACAGGGCCGTATTGTGCCCATCTGTCACGCTGACTCAATGCATAGAGCAGATCTCTACATTCGCGCCTGACGGCGGCAGATCAACACGAGGAAATAGAGCTAAGCAGCAGGTCATCCGAGTACCACCCAGTCTGAACGCTGCTTAGCTTGGACGGCCGCCAGAGCCGCACGCTGCCCGCGTGATCACTATTGTCGCTGTTCAGCGTATAAGTTTTATTACACCGTATATCGTTTCACTGGCATCCATTGTGTTACATTACAATAAAAACAATTCAGTCTATTCAATCCAATTAACTTCAAAATTCACCCTGATTAATTCATTGATTACCATAGTCATAAAAATCGGACATTGTTGGGTCCCCGAATGGGATGCAAGAACGCTGAGTCCGGATAGAGGGTTAACTAAATAGACACGAACACAGACGAAATGTCATAGACACAGACCTTGAATCACTGCAATAAGTTAACTAATACAGAAGAGTATTCCCGTCCAGAATCGATATAATTTTAAATGCTGATAATTAACCAGCCCCGTTAATAACTAGAGCGGACTGTACACACTCGATGCGACTCTAATGAATACTGAATAAATCACGACAATTCAACGAAAAACGCTTAATCGCGTCGATAACTAATATGCAAACTAGGGTGGACCCCGACAGATGTCGCGAAAACCCCGAAAGTCAGTCAAAAGTGACAGATCCAGTACGCAACAGACGTCATCATTAGATTCACCAATTCCTGAAGCATCGCAAACCACAAATCGAGATCCGCGGCAGCGTATCGGCCAAGAAAAGTTTTAGCTCCGATTGTACAAAACATCAGACCGACCGCTGCCGTGTATCTATATACGAAGCAACTACCCCCTCCACTACCTACGAATCATATCCATCAAATAAAATACAAACGTGACGAGCTACATGAAAAATACTCTTAGTTACATTATATAAATTGGCCACAAGCTTCTCATTGATGTAACATTTTTTTTGTTCGAAGCAATATTTAAAAAAATACGCGCATAGCAACGACTTCATATGCACATTCTCGCATTTCACATCAACTCCTATCATTTTTTTTGTTACGGAATTGGTAGCAGTGTAATACAATCACACGCACCAAGGAGGGAAGCCCGGGAATTTACAAATTGAATATGGTGCACGAATGATGAATTCCACAGATATTTTTCACTCGAGTTTCGTGCACAAATGAATTCTCGAAGGAGCAAATTCAGTCGGAAAATCTTGAATGAATAAATAATTAAAAGTCGGTGCAAATAACGACTGTGGAATAGAACTATTTGTTTTACTTCAATTGTTAATTGGAAACATGATTTATCGTGTGAAAAATAAATAAGCCGAATTGAATTGAAAATGAAAAAATTTACAGGATATGAAAACGATTCCTTGTTTACTTTGAAAAAAATAATGAAAT